TTTATCAGCATTGCACTGTCATTGGTAATTGATGATAACCACATGATCAATTTAGACGACAGGACACTGAGGCCTGGCGGGGGGGGGGGGGGGGGGGAGTTGCTGCAGCTCACACGGCTAGGGCCAGGAGTTAAGAATGCCAGTCTCCATCTGTCTCTTCTCATTTGATGAAGTCCACGAAAGAGTGAGCATAAACTGATGCAGAGCCTATGGGCCACACATGAGCCGGGATGATTTGTTTGGCTTTGGAATGAAATGGAATATACACACACATTGCCCTTTTTGCCTGGCTTTGCTCTGCTCTGCTTTGTTTTTCTTGGTTGTCAAGAGCCTAGCGTGTGGGCCACTGATGGTGCATTTGTCCTCGATGGCACTGTGAGTGCTCACTGTGGGTCACTGGGGAAGGCTGGTTCCCTTTAGAGCTATCCCTTGTCATCAGAAGGCCTGGCTGTGAGCTCTAGGTCTACCTGTACTGGCTCTGGACATATCACTTCCCCTAAGCATGTTCTGGTCTCACTACCAATGAAATAGGGTGATGGGGCTGGGACTGGAGTTCTAGAAGTCTGGTAGGGCTTTTCTCAGGCTGCATGAAGGAAGCCACTTGCCTAGAACCCAAGATTCTCCCTGGCTCCTTAATCCCAGTGCCGGGAGTGGAGGGAGCTGGCTGGTTTTCTCACCCTGTTGTTGAATGTTCGGGAAGATGCAGCCATTCACCATCCTGAATCCATGGTCACCACACCATGGTGACTCAGCCTGCACATGCTGGGGGTAATCAACACAATCAGGAGCCCCACCCTGCAGCCTGGGAACAGGGAACAGGTCCACTCTGAATATTTGCTCCCAGTCGTGTCATTCTTCCTCAGGGCTTCAGGGAAGAAAGAGCAGGGTCAGAGGCAGTGGTGACCCTGGCTCTAAATGCCTGCCTGGGTCCTTTCCCACAAAGTCACTCTCACTCGTCTCCCAGGGAGATGCAGTGAAAGTTGGTTCTCAGTTTACTTTGAGCTATCTCCCAGGATATTTTTAAGCTTCACGTTTGTATTCCTCTCAGTACTTGCCTCAGGTCACATAAAAATGAGTCAGTAATCCTTGGGTGAGGGCCCAGGCTCTGATTGGTTCTTTTGCTGCTGATAAGCCCTGCAACTAATTGAGTCCAGGTGGGTGGGCTTGAGTTGGTTCTCATGCCAGGCTCCATATGCCCCAATAACAAATGCTCGTGGTCCCCAACTTAAGATGGTTCAACTTCATGATGATGTGAAAGCAGTGTGCCTTCAGCAGAAACCACACTTCAGGATGCAAATTTTGAACTTGGATCTGGGCCAGTGATATGTAATATAATACTCTTGAGATTTGGGGCAGCAGCAGCAGGCTGTAGGTACCTGTAAGCCCCATGTTCGTGAAAAGCTGATGCTTCACAATGGACTGTGTTGCTAAGCTACGATGCTCGAGAATTTAGTGCATTGAATGCATTTTCAACTTAGGATATTTTCAGCTTCTGATGAGTTTATGGGATGTAAGCCAAGGAGGCGTCTGTAGTTGCACACGGTATTTTCTCATACCATCTCCAGAGCTCCCTGGAACCCTGAGGATACTATCCCCAGAGACAGTTAAGGAAGCCAACTTCAGATAGAGGACAGGACTTGCCCAGACCAGAATCTGGCACCACATCCTAGGTTTCAGCACCACACTATCTCTCCCCTCCATAGATGCAGGCGGACATACCAGCTTTGGAAGAACCCAGTCCTGAGGTGACACATGTAGAGGCAGTTCCCAGGCCACCTTCTCACACACACTTCTCATCTCCAGGGGTGGCTCAGGAAGGTGCAGGCAGATTAGGTTTTTAAACCCAGTGGCTGAGGCCCACAGGGTGACTTAGCTTTGCTGAAGCCCTCAGCCAGAAAACAGGCAGTGAGAAGAGCCAGGAGAGGGCAGGGTCACTGGACTGGGCAGAGCAGTCAGCAGACTGCCACTGGCTGGAAGGAAAGCAGGCAGGAGTTTGGGATGTTCCTGCAGCACCCAGGAATTCAAGCCCATCTGCAGGGAGCTCTGTGATGCTGGGGACTCGGGCTCAGACTTGGGCAGAGAGGCAGGAACAGGGAGTACAAGAGAGGCAAAAACATTTTGTCCTCAAGCCTTCTCAGTCTGTTCAAGACAGGAAATTCCTAAATTCTCCTGAGGCGGCCAGCTTTCCCCACCACTGTAGCCCAGTAGGGGAAATAAGATAGATCTATGCATTTCCAATACTGGGCCCCCAATCCCTCTCCCAGGATCTTTGGCCAAGGCCCCTTGGCTGCCCTCTGTCAAAGATGGATGCCTGAGTTGCAGGCATGGGGCAAGCAGCAGTTTCCTGAGAGCCCCAACTTGTCAGCAGAGAGCATGGGTCTCACCTGTCTCAGCCACTCTTGTCCTCCTGCTCCTTGCCCCCCCACCAGCACCCGCTCTGGGGGAAACTTTCAGCCTCTCTCCTCCCACAGGCCCAGAGGCTAGGCCCACAGAGCTTTGCAATAGCCTGAGTTCATTTTCATTGGCTGATAATAAAAATTCAGTAGCAAGTTTGGAGTTAGGTCTTGCCCAGGTGGGGAAAGCACACTGGAAACTGTCCCCAGGGCTCTAGGCTTCCTGAAGAAAATCTGGTTTTTGTGGCCCCAAAGCCTTGCTCCTAAAGTCTTGGATTTTTAGAGATCTCCTAGCTGTATTAGTTTGTGTTCTGTTACTATAACAAAACAGAGGAAGCCGGGTAACTTGTAAAAAAAATGAGATTTACTTTGGCTCCTGGTTCTGGAGATCTAAAAGCATGGCACTGCCTCTATTCCCTTCTGGTGAGGACCTTGTGTTGCTTTATATAATAGCCAAAAAGCAGGAAGGAGAAACCAGTAAGAAAGATGGAGGGAGGTTCCAGGCTTGCTTTAGAAAGGTCTTCTCTCCTGCTAACTAATTCAGTCCTGTGAGAGACAACTCACTCCTGTGGGAACTAATCCAGATTAAGAGAACCTTACCTAGCCCCTTGAGAAATATGTTAATCCATTCATGAGGTCAGTGTCCCTATGATTTAATTCCCCCAGAGGTCCCACCTCCCAGTACCACCAATATGAGATTCAAATTTTTAACATGATGGGCTGGAAATATAGCTCAGTAGTAGAGCGCCTAAGTTTTGGTAAGTTCAAACAATAGCTTTGCTCCCACCAAAACCAAAACCAAAAACAAAACAAAAGCATAAATGGACTTATTGAAAGTCAAAACCCTCTGGCTCACAGAACCAGTGGGGAGATAGACACTGGGCATCTGAGGGCTCATCCTGTACCAGGGCCGTCCTGCAAAGTAAGCAAATACCTTATCTCCTCAGAGACAGGGGTGAGGTCAGCCTGGAGGAAGAATGAGCCTGGTTACACCCAGAAAGTCACTCTGGTTTTGGCCCTTCACTAGCTGTCCCTCCCTCTCAGATGGAAATTTTTGTGAGGTATTTTTGATGTATAGTAAGCTGCATATATTTAAGGAATTTAATTTGATGAGTTTTGAATATTTACCTCCATGAAACCTTCACTGTGACTTTAAAAAAATGAGTATCTCCATTACTTATTTCCTCATGCCCTTTATAATGCAGCCTCACAGCCCCTGCCCCAAGTACTCACTGATCTGCTTTCTGTCCTTTTTCTTAGTTGCTAATGTACCTTCATTTAATTTATTGATTTATGTATTTATACATGGTGCTGAGGATTGAACCCAGCACATGTTAGGCAAGCACTCTACCACTGAGCTACAACCCCAGCCCTGCTTTCTATCCTTAAACTTTGCATTTTCTAGAATTTTGTATGAATGGACTCATCCAATATGTACTCTTTCTTTGTCTGGCTTCTTTCATTCAGCATAATGATGGTGAGATTTATCCCCATTGTGGTGCCTCCCAGTGCTTTATTCCTTTTGGCTGTGTTATTCTGTTGTGATGGGTATATCATAGTTTTTTATTTGTTGGCCTGTTTTGGGCATTTGGGTCCTTTCCACATTGGAGTTATTGTGAATCAAACTGCTATGACTATAAGTCTTTGTGAAGATTTGTGATTTCATTTCTCTTGATTAAATATGCTGGAGCAGAATGACCAGATTATAGGAGAAGTATATGCTTAACCTTTTAAGAAACTGCGAAGTCTATTTTTAATGGGTCTGTACCATTTACATTCCCACCAGCAGTGTATGAGAGATCTATGCTGCTCCACATCTTGGCCAATATCAATCATGGGATGGTCAATCTTGGTCATTCTAGCCTTTCTAAAGAATGTGTTATTACTGTGCTAGAGTCAAACCCAGGGCCTCACACATGCTAGGTAAGCACTCTACAACTGAGCTACATTTCTAGTCCTATAGTTTATTTTCTTAAAAAAAGAATAAAATAGGGTTGGTAATTGGCTCAGTGGTAGAAGACATGCTTAGCATGTATGAGATCTGAGGTTCAGTCCCCAGCACCAAAAAAACAAAAAGGAAAAAGAAAAAGAATGTATCTATTTGCTTGTGTATGTTGTATACATAGATCATCTCTTGCAAAATGAACCAGGAGCTGAAAATTGGTGGCCTCTGGGGAGAGTTGCTTGGTTGGCCAAGGAATGGGTGGAAGACTTTACACAGATTCTTTGATATCTTTTGAATTTTGGGCCATGTGATTATATCATTTATTCAAAAAAGTAAACAAAATTTAAGGAAAAATAACCTCATAAGATACCAAGTGTTAGATTCCTCCTTGAGGTTTCCTGAGGAAGCAGAGCCTGGTTTAAGAGTAGCTCTACAGAGATCTCATTGTTCACTCCCTGTTCTCTTGCAAGAGTGTTGTCATGTCAAGGAGAGAAACGGGGCACATCTGATTCCTCTGTAAGATCTCCAGCACCTCCAAACACTCTGGAAGCACTTAGAACCTGAGCCTCAGCATAGCTAATTGGTCTCTTTGTTAAATGACTGACTGACTGAATGAATGAATGAAATAATGCTCACTTGATGTTCTGTTGTCTACCACACAGAAAAGAAGAGTGACGGAAAGAGTGGCCTTCTGCCTCTGTCTCCCAACCAGCCTGTGGCGCCCATCTTCCTACAAGGCCTCTCTGATCTCAAAGTCATGGATGGAAGCCAGGTCACCATGACAGTTCAGGTGTCAGGTCTGTCTCTATGTCTTTCTTCTTGGGATGCTGTGAGAAGGGCCATGGTTGCAGTACAGGTATTGTTCCCCAAGGCCCTGCTCAGAACATTGACCCACCAGAAACCCAGCATAGGGCCACCAGACAATGGACCAAAAGAAAAAAGGCCTTTTGGTTTTTCTTTTCTGCCTCTGTAGGTAGAATTTTCTAATTCAAAGTTAAATGAATTTGGGGAAGATGGTGGCCAGACGCAGAGGGGTGAGGGATTAATTTGAATCATGTGTGGCCAATGTGGTTGGAAAGTTCTGAAGACTGGTGCAAAACCTGGTACAACTCTCAGAAGATGATCTCAGTTGCTCTTTCCAAATTTTAAGGTGAAAGGATAGAGTAGAGGTCGTTCTAAAACAGGGACAGGGCAACAGGAGCTTGTGACAAGGTGTGAGCAAAAGAAGCCCAGGGAAGCTTCTGGCTCAGTGCTCCTGGCTGGGGGCAGCCATAGTTACTGTTGAGTGCCTTCATGGTTCTTGGCTCCTGATCAGTGCCTCTGACAGCTTGGAGGTCACTTCCCTGGATTTTTAGTTCCTCTTGAACTATAGAAGCAATAAAGATGACAAGTAAGAGATCCCAAGAGCTCACCTTTGTAGAGATGCTCAGATGATCTCCCTTTCCGGCAGGCTGGAGGCCATCCTGTTACAGCCCCAAGATAGAGAACTGGGTCCCCTCCCCTGTCCATATGTACCATACCACTCACAGAGTCCTCCAGTTGGAAGAGATTGGAGGCACTTTACACCTGGCTGCCAGGCATGTGATGTCTGACACACAGCAGACAAATAGTCATCTGCTTGCTCTTAAGCCTCTGCAGGGACCATTGCCCCCCAGCATACCCCAGCTGCCTATTTCAGGGACTTTGCTCTTCTGAAAGCAGAGCTTTATAATCAGGTCTTACATCAGAGGAAATCCTCACCATTGGCCATTGTTTCATGCCTCCCAAAATTCCAAAAAAAATAGATTGGTGAAAACTGACAGTTCTGTCCACCAAGAGCCATGTTTGGAAATCCTATGCAAGCTGGTGTCCTAGGATATTTGTATGGTAGAAAAATGAAATGTTCATTGGACTCTTCTTCTGGTGACAATCTGCAAGGAAATTACCATGAAGTCACTATTACTTGCACCGGATACCCTGTGTGGGGAGTGCAGAGCAGAAAACATATTCAGTTTGAACCCAGCGATCTACTTAGTATCATAAAGCTATTTGAATTCTAATTTTAAGAACCATTCTTCCTGGGTTTTCTTTTTTCATCTCCAAAATCATATTTTCACTTCAGTTCTTTCTGGTTTCCCCAAATCTGTTGTTTAATAATCACAATGAGTATACATTTGGTATTTTCTTTGTGTTCGATCTTATTCTAATGGGCAGCTAAAGGAGGTTTGATTCATTCATGTGTACTTCCTGACAAACCTACAAGATAGATGCTATTAGAATACCTATTTTTCAGATGGGAAAACTGAAGGTGCAAAGAGTTTGGTAGAATATTTAATAAGATATTATAGTATTAGCTGAGTGTGGTGGCACATGCCTGAGGCTGGAGTGAGGGCCTAAGCAACACTTCGAGACACTGTCTCTAATAAATTACAAAAACGGGCTGGGGATGTGGCTCAGTGGTTAAGCACCCCTGGGTTCAATCCTGGGTACAAAAAAAAAAAAAAAAACCAACTATATATATTACAGTATCAAGTGCACAGTTGCTACCTGACCAAGGAAGTTGTGCCCTAACTAGTTCCTCACCCCTCCTCTCACTTCAGGGAATCCACCCCCAGAGGTCATCTGGCTGCACAATGGGACTGAGATCCAGGAGTCTGAGGACTTCCACTTTGAACAGAAAGGCACTCAACACAGCCTTTGCATCCAGGAAGTGTTTCCAGAGGACACAGGTACATACACCTGCGAGGCCTGGAACAGCTCCGGGGAGGTCCGCACTCAGGCTGTACTCACAGTGCAAGGTGAGGCTTAACTGTTCTGGGGGATGGGGGTACGGGCCTGGCCTTTCCCAAAGCAATATGGAGATGAGCAGACTGCAGGTCCCATCCCAGCCCCAGAGGCAGCTCCCTATCTTCCACCTCAATCTCTGGCTGAGAGGGCAGCACGCCGCCCCACCCTACAAGCCTTCTAAAGTCCCTGCCCTCTCTGGGCTACTGCTGACAAGCTAATAGAGTGCTAAGAGAAAAGCCTACAATACACTTAATTTGGCAAGGAGAACTTTGGAGGCAGGTTATGGGCATACTGGTCCCTGCCCTTAGAGAGCACGTATGTAAGAGGAAAGGCAAGTTAAGCACACAGACTGCAAGGATCAGCTGCTGATCAGACACATCTCATGCAGATCTTCAGCACCCAGCCCAATGCCCGCTCATTCTGGGCTCTCCCCTTGCTTTGGGAGTATTCATCTTAAAGCTTCCTCTAAGAACATAATCAGGAATGATACGCAAGAAAAAGGTGTGTTGTGTTTGTATGTCTGTAGAGATGATTTCTGGAATAGCTGTTGCGTTCTTTGAGTAACACGCTGTCTTCCCACTCCGCCACTAGGGAGGACATGGTGTATGCCTGTGCTGCAGGGCCTTCCTCTCTCACTTTACCCTTTGCCATCTTCCAGAGCCTCATGATGGCACCCAGCCCTGGTTCATCAGCAAGCCTCGCTCGGTGACGGCCTCCCTGGGCCAGAGTGTCCTCATCTCCTGTGCCATAGCTGGTGACCCCTTTCCTACTGTGCACTGGCTCCGAGACGGCAGAGCCCTCTCCAGACACACTGTCCATTTTGAAGTACTGCAGAACGAGGATGTGTTCACCCTGGTTCTAAAGAACGTGCAGCCCTGGCATGCTGGCCAGTATGAGATCCTGCTCAAGTGAGTCTGCATGTCCTGCCGCCTCCCTTATCTCCTTCCCCCAAGATTCCTGGCTCCCTTATCCTGAGATTGGGCAGCCAGAGGAAGCACAAGCTTATGTGGGGGTTGGATTTCTAGGTAAAGCAAGTACAAGCTTGGTGAAGCTGGCAAATTGATTGTTACACTAGAGTAGAATAGATTCTCATGAAGAACCTTTCCTTCTGAGCACAGTTCCTCAGAAGTCTCTGTCATATTACATTCTGGATTTTGCATGTCATGTGGTATATGGAAGATAAGAAGGAGGGAGTAAAGGATTAAAGGTGGAAACAGGGGGATAGAGAGAATGCATTTGTAACCTATTGCTGTGTAACAAAATACCCCCATATTTAGCAGCTTGAAACCAAACATTTATTATCACACATTTCTGTGATCTAGTGTGTTAGTCTGTTTTCCATTAGGATAATGAAATACCTGAGAAGACTGGGTAACTTTATAAAGAAAAGAAGTTGATTTAGCTTATAGTTCTGGAAGTTCAAGACTGGGTGCTGCACCTGGTAATGACCTTCTTGCTGGCGAGTCCCAGGGTGGGACAAAGCATTACATGACAAGAAAGAGGGAGCACACTTGTGTCCTAGTATCTGTGTCTCTGTCCTTCTCTGTCTCTCTGTCTCTCTTTTTCTCTTCTTATGTGGCCACCAGTATTCATTCTTGCCCCACCTCCATGACTTTATCTAATCTTAATCGCCCAAAGTCTCACGCTAAACACCATGGTTGGATTAAGTTTCCACCCTCTTTAATACCTCACAGTGGAGATTGAATTTCAACACTTGAGCCCTTGAGGGGCACACTGAAACCATATCCAAACCATAGCAGTTGGGAATTTGGAAGCAGCTTAGTTGGATGGTTTTTCTTTTGTTAAATTGTCGTTGAGTTGTCAGAGGAGCTAAGGTCTCTGAAGGCTGGACTGAGACTGGCGGTTCTGCTTCAAAGGTGACTTGGCAAGAGGCCTTGGCTCCTTGCCCCATGATCTCTCCACAGGCCTGCTTGAGGGTCTTCATGACACAACAGCTGGCTTTCCCAGAGATAGTGGCCCAAGAGAGCACAAGTCTAAACCTGCAATGTCATTTATGACCTGCCCTGGGAAGTCACACACCATCACTTCTGACATTCTGGCTGTTAGAAGTGAGTCACAGAGTACAGCCATGCTCAAGAGGAGGAGAATTAAGTTCTGCCTATTGGAGAGAGGAGTTTCAGAGAAGGTGGAGACATTTTTTAAACCAGTGCAGGGAGATTACCTTTCCCCATTCTTCTTTTCTTACCTTTTTGAGATCTTGCTAGATTACAGGGGAAGGTAAGCACCATGAAGGCACACCACGGTGTCCCCACACCTAGAAAAGTATCTGTCCCATAATAAGCATTTGGTAGTCATTTGTCAAATGTTCTTTTACCTTTAAAATTCTCCAAATCTTAAAATTCCATGCCTGGGTTGGTGTAAGCATTGACGAATGCTTGTCCACACCTTGACCTGAAGACGGGAGGTTGTGCCATGTCCTGAGGATGGTTAGATATGCCCGGGCTTAGGTGCCTGGCCACTTTGCAAGGAGCTTTCTCTCCTGGACTTTTTCATGTCTCCATTCTCAGCCCATCATGCTCAAGGCTCTGAACTATAAATAGACTATATGTCAAGGCTACTGCCATGATGGGAATGGTGCCTACAATAATTGAAAAAAATCTCAGTATGCATCCCATCCCCTTGGGTCCTTTTGGGCACATGCTTTATCCTTGTATCAGTTGGCTCTTACTGGATAACAAACCATCCCAATACTTACTGGCATTTTTAAAAATAATCATTTTTTTAAAAACTATTTATTATCCCTTAGGAGTCTTTGAGTCTGCTGGGGAGATCTGCTGATCTGGGCAAGACTCAGTGGATCCCAGCTAAGCTCAATGACCTGGTTGTGGGCTGTTGGTCACCCTTCTACCATCAGCAGTGTGCTCAGGAAACATCAACTGCCTTTTGCTTTGTTGTTACCAAGAGAGAAAATCTGCTTCCACGTGAGGAGACCCCACTCTTACTCCCTAGACCAGTATAAAGGATGAAAGCTGATTCTATTGAAAAATGCTTGCTGACGAGCTGTCTGTATGGAGGAGTAGACAATATTCAAGTTACACAAGCCAGACATCTTAGAGGAGACGGACTTTCTGTGGTATTTAGAGGAAAAAGAAAAGCCGATGTTCAATGAGAAGGGGTTGACTGTTGAATAGACTGAGCAGAAGAGGGTCGAGGGTGGGAAGGGAGAGCAGAGCAAAAGCAAAGGGCTATGGGAAGTCTACCAGCCCAGAGAGGAGGGTTACTTTGGGAGGTCGGCAAGCAGACTGTCTGGGGCCAGCTGAGGACAGTCATAAAATGTAGACTGTCCTCAGCTGAAAGGGATTTCAAATGCTGTCTAACCTCCTCCTCATTTAATAATTGGGAAAACTGAGGTCTCCGTCATGGACTTGCTTATGACCACTCAAAGGCCATGAGCAGAGCCCAAGTTCGAGCCCTTGTCTTTTGATTTAAATCAGACACTCTTCTATTCTAATGACCCAGTTTGGGGAGTTTCTCTCCAGTGCACTGGGAACTGGGGGACCTGGGAAGTGGCATCTCTATCTTTGCAGCCCTTGCCTCTTTCCCCTCCCCACAGTCTGGCCTCTCCATTCCTATGGGAGGCTGTTTCCCTGACCTTGGCTTTGTCCCCAGCTAAGATGGAGCAAGTCAGTGGAAAGTTCTGCTGGGGAGCATGTTCCAGGCCTGCCAGGGGCCGCCTTTACTTCCCACTTGCCTTGTCCCAATGGAAAGCAGACCTAGATCAGAGAGTAATGCCTTTCATGGAGGAAGCTGGATGTCTGGGAGGAAACCTGAGGTATGGAGGCAGGAGAGGCAGTTCTGTCTGTCCCTGCTAAAGTCCTGAGGCATGTATGGGTGCATTTCTACCTCCCCTTCCCTTCCCTAGCTTTCTATACAGAAAGGGAAAATAGCCAAAAGTCAGCTCCAAATTCCAGCTGACATGTTTGAAAAATTGACACTTGCCAGAAAATTGGTTCTTTAAACTAATTTTGTGTATAAAATCATCCCAGAGGATGATTCAGGGCAGGTTGGAGTCCAAGACTTCACAACTAGAAAGTGGGCTTCTTGTTCAGGGCTTGGGAAGTGGAGGAGCAGAGGGCTCTGTGAGTTTGTGGAAGGTACAGCTCTTAGGGTGATAGCCCATGTCCCCTGTGGCAGCACCAGGACAGGCCTCAGCCTCAGCCCCAGACCTGAGCTTGTAGCCAGATGTGTGAAAATGTTGAAGATGGCCTTAAGAGGCTGTTCCAGCTGATTAGGTTACCAGGAATGTGGGCCCAAGGCAAGAGGCCTTCTGACCTATGTAGGCTCCAAATGAACACATAATTTGTCTTAAAGGCCCAGTGGAGATATAAGTTTTTGTCTGTAGGAATAGTTGCCCTAGTGTATAGCCTTAATATCCCTGTTCTCTGTCCCCTGAGTGGCTCCCGTACCTCAGGGTGAGGCCTGGGATGGATTGAGCAGAAGGCTTTGAGAGACTTATCTGTGCCCATGCTCCTCACATTCAGGACAGATCATGGCAAATGACAGAAGCCCTTAACTCCTTCCCCCAATGGAAGATAAGGCTTATTCCAGCTCAGGGAACAAGGTTTCCCACCAGTTAAAGCCTCAAGTGGTGTGGCCAGGGTAAAGTAGGGCCATCTGGTCAGCATCTGCTCCTGATTTCTGCATCTGGGCTATGTTCTACTTGTGACAGGAGGAAACTCAACTGAAGATGTGCCGAAAAGGGCTACTGGGTAAACACAGCCCTTGGGCATCTTGTCGTTCTGCTTCATGCCAACCCTGGGTACCACAACACTGGCTTGGAAGAAGACTGGGGAAAGATGGCCTAAGGCTGGCCAGCAGCCTAGTAGAAGTGGGGTATTAGGGACTGAGCCTCAATACCAGCATGCCCTTGAGTGGTTGTTCTATAAGTGCCCGAGCTTTTGTGACCATTGGGAGCTCAGGATACTCTGCAGGCCCTTAATCTTCCCAGGGCCTGGGACTGACAAGGCTGTGGAGCAAAAGAGCATCCTAGGCCCTGAAGCTCTCCAGGCATGAGGCCTTAAGTCAGGGTCCTCTGAGAGTCAGAGCTTTAAGGAAAGGACAGGGGAGGAGAGAGGAGCAAAGGGCTGAGATCTCAGGAGGATATCTGCATTGGCACAGCCAGGGGCGCCATGCAGAAGGACAATTAGGGGACACTGACAGGCAAGAGGCAGGTTGGAAAGTAGCAAAGATCCACCTTGCTTCACACAGGTCTCAGTGCTAAGGGGGAGATGCAACACTGAGCCCCCATGGGCTACTAGTGTCTGTCCCCTGGGAGGCAGGCCAGGCACAGAGAAGCAACCACAGTAACAGGATACACACAGGCACATGCTCAGATGCCAATTCCTGTGCTTACACTAGCCATGTGCCTGTATTCCCATCTCAGATCTGGTGCCTCCTGGGTGGACCCCACAGATGCTTGTGATTGATACATAAATGTGCACAGAGACTCACACATATCCCAGAACAGATCCATACTGAGAGATAAGGGTGCAGTCAGAGTCTTAGATTCAGGTAGACCCAGCTCCCAGTCCCGCTCCCCACTAGTTAGCTCTGGGAGTTTAGGCAGATTCCTCCATCTTTATAAAATTCCTTTCCCTTCCCTAAAAAGACATGCTGACACAGTCTTTCCTGAGTTTAAATGAGATGGATTTCACAAGGAAACTGTCACAGAGCTTGGCAAGTCTGCCCTGGGGTCTGGGCCACACTTGCCCCCTGCGGTACTAATAAGATGGGTGCATTCAGGGAACTGAGTGGGACCCCCAGAGTCCCAGCACTGTCTTGTATAAACTCCTGAGTCTCCTTTCCTGTCCCTTAAAATGGGCAAAGTTGTGGTCTTTGCCTCTCTGGCATGTTGTAGAGAACCAAAAAGACAAAGGGTATGGAAGACACCAGAACCTGATTGTGAAACACAGTCCTTGGGTTCCTGCAGTCCCTTTGGCTCCCACACACCCCACCCAATTGGTCAAGGCTCAGAAATGCCAGCAGAGGGCAGCCTTGTGGGGCCAGAGGGACCATCTGTGGTAAATCCACCCTGAGGGCGCTGTAGTTCAGCCCCCTTCCCTCAGCTGGCCCTGCACCATGGGGCCTGAACAGTTCTGTGGATGTGAAGACGCCTGTAGCCTTCCTCACCTGAAGGAGGAAGAAAAAGGGCCACCCATGGAGGGAGATGCTTGTTTTGTTTTAACCCCAAAAATTCTAGTCTCAGGCTATTGGCTGATGAGTAGAGACTGGTGGGGTGAAGGGGTTCATTATAGAGTGGGGGAGGGGAAGTAGCAGTTGGGGAAATAGGTACTGCTGTTTTGGGGGAGCATGGAGTCAGACTGCAGTCACAGGGCAGGCTAAGCCGGGCCTATCTGTCTGGACCGAGTAGCTCCATTGCAGTCCCCAGCAGGGCCAGCCTTTATTCCCCCAATTATATTGATTGATTGGTGATATTATATAATATGTTTCCAGAAAGGTAGGTATCTAGGTGCCTATCTTAGCTGCTCTCCAGAAACTTCCCTTCTCTTCTTTTTAAAATAAGAACTGGGAAAAACACAGGGTGACCACAGGATAAGGGAGCTCTGACCTAAATCTAAGTCTGGAATGGATAGCACAGCTAAGCCTGTGATCTCCATCTTCCCTGGTGGGCAGCCAACCCTCGACCGAGTTCATGCTTGCCTGTGCCCCTCATGGCCCTGGGCTGAGAGGGCCCTTTGCCCAGGGAGCCTCTTGATCCTTATTGGTCCCTTGAATTCTTTAGGAACAAGGTTGGCGAATGCAGTTGCCAAGTGTCACTGATGCTACAGAACAGCTCTGCCGAAGAATCCCCACGGTGAGTGCCCCAGCAGTCTCAGGCCAGGCCCCGGGCACCACCAGCACCTTCCTCCTGGGCCTAGCAGCCCCGGCCCAGCAGCCCCACACTGTTTGCATCCTCCAGCTGAGGCTGCCAGAACCAAAGGGAGAGATTGGAAGGGAATGAGAGAGGGAGGGCAGAGGAAAGGAGGGGGCGATTTTTTTTTTTTTTTTGCACACACCCTTATAAGGCTACTGAAGTCATTACCGATGTAATAAACCAACTAAGCAAGCGAGTGCCTCTCACCAATGTTCCCTTCTATAAACACAGCCTGGCTGGCCCCCACCTCCCCTTCCCCCTCCTCTCTACCCTCCGCCCTCGGGGATTTGCTCTTCCCTGACGTCTCTGGCTCTCCCGGCCCCTTTTCCTCCTGCTACTTTTCTTTTTCCCTTCACTGGTTGCAGGGGGCAGGAGCCTGCCAGCTGTGAGGGCCTCTGTGGTAGAGGAGCTGGTGCTGATGGTGGTGGCGACCGTGATGGGACCCTGAGGCCAGACTGGCCTGGGAAAGGGCAGGATCGCCCAGAGGAGGAAGACTGTGAGGACGTGCGGGAGCTGCTGAAGAGGCGTGTGGAGACCCGGCTGCACACAGAGGAGGCCATCCGCCAGCAGGAGGTGGAGCAGCTGGATTTCCGCGACCTCCTGGGGAAGAAGGTGAGCACCAAGACTCTGTCGGAAGAAGACCTGAAGGAGATCCCAGCTGAGCAGATGGATTTCCGCGCCAACTTGCAGCGGCAGGTGAAGCCAAAGACTCTGTCCGAGGAAGAGAGGAAGGTGCACAGCCCCCAGCAGGTTGACTTCCGCTCTGTCCTGGCCAAGAAGGGGACTCCTAAGACCCCCGTGCCTGAGAAGGCACCACCTCCAAAACCTGCCACACCTGACTTTCGCTCGGTGCTGAGCAGCAAGAAGAAATTACCAGCAGAGAATGGCAGCAGCAGTGCCGAGTCCTCGAGTGCCAAGGCAGTGGAAAGTCCCCAGCCCGTGAGCAACGCACAGCCTGCAGGGTCCCTGAAACCTGTGGTCAATGCCAAGCCTGCAGAGACCTTGAAACCTGTGAGCAATGCCAAGCCGGCCGAGACCCTGAAACCCGTGGGCAATGCCAAGCCTGCAGAGACCCTGAAACCCGTGGGCAATGCCAAGCCGGCTGAGACCCTGAAACCAGCTGGGAAAGAAGAACTGAAGAAGGAGGTTAAGAATGATGTGAACTGCAAGAGAGGGGCCACCGACAGTGAGAAAAGACCAGAGAGCCAAGGGACAGCCCCAACTTTCAAGGAGAAGCTACAAGATGTCCATGTGGCAGAGGGTGAAAAGCTGCTACTCCAGTGCCAGGTGTCCTCTGACCCCCCAGCCACCATCACCTGGACACTGAATGGAAAGACACTCAAGACCACCAAGTTCATCATCCTCTCCCAAGAAGGTAAATGAGGGTGGGGTCAGGGAAGACAGGGACCCTGTACCAGGGCCACTGTTGGCTCATGGAGCCTCTGTCTGGTTGATGATCACTCATCGCCCATAGCCTGAGTTGGAATGCCCAGTCCCTGTTCAACCTCATTTACAGTATAGGTTTTCTGCTCAGGGACCTTGGGTACATGCCCCTTGCTGGGCCATGACAGCTGGGTCTCTGATCCTTGTGGTGTAAGCCTATATCTTGGTGTCTTCTGGCAGAGTTCTCTCATGACACCCCCACCCATGGTTCCCCAGAATTTAAGTCGGCCTGAGTGATGCCCAACAACCTGAGCATGGAGAGGGCTGTTTGTAGGCTGGGAAATGGGGTTGAAGGGACTCTGGGCTGTGGAAGCAGCAGAAGTTTTGGCCAGGAGAAGAATATGCAGGGCGGCATAGTATGGGACTATGAGTTGGGGTCAACAAAATCTTACATCTTGAGAGCATTGTGGGTTTGTAGGAACCTGTGTGGGAATTCAAAATCCCAGTGCAGCCCCAACAGCACATACACAGACAGAGCTGCTTGCTTCCTAATTTGGATGAGACGTTTGTTTGCTGGTATTTCACATTCTTGGGTGGTGGTGGGGGGGTTGTCAAATCCTGCCATCTGTGGTCTTTTGGAGTCTGGAGTTCTCAGGTGGGCCACTTTATACCTAGAGAAGAAAAGGGCTGAGCGGAGGTTTTCCCCTGGCCCCTCAATTTGGTTGGAAGTGTTTTTATAAATCCCAAGCTTGGACAGGAGCTCAGAGGCCAGCAGATAGCCCACACCCCACTCTGGTGGCCAGCAGAGGAATAGGGTCCTTCCTGAGCTGAAAGATGCCACTGGGGGCTCTGGCCAAGGCAGAGCATGAAGAAGCTCCCCAGGAGGTGGATTTACCTCTGAAGGGCAGAGGGCAGCCACTGCAGAGGCCAAGTGGACAGTCCCAGCAAATGCAGGTTGATGGAGACAGCAGAACGCTCTTCCCTCTGCTCTCTTGGGGCTATCCTCTGGTCACACCCCTCTCCATCTATCCCTTACCCCTCATCCCACTATATGCCTCCCACTTTCAGCTTGGGAGGAAGTATTCGAATTAGCAACGTTCCTGTTGCTCATTCTGCATCTCAGACAGCAAATATGGAACAGCCATGCATGTTGAATCTAATGGCTGAAGGGGAAATTGGAAATTTCTGTCAACAGAGAGAAAGAAACCTGTTGTATTTTGCAAACATGTTCACACAGTAACTTTTTCTCATGGATGTCCTCAGATGGTCAGAGTCCTCCAGAAGGCATCTTCTCCATCCCCCAGCATCTGCTAGCTCAGCCTCTGGGTTATCCACAATCAGATGGTCATGGGGGATCACTAGGCTGGGGCAAACACATACACATCCAGGGGAGTGGATTCCACAGCTTTCCCTATGCCCACTGGGGGCCTCCCCATTGGAAAACTCTTGGTCAAACTGATTGGAAAACTTAACCAGGAGCATTTCCTAGTTACCTTGTAGTGATCTTTCTGGGCAGGATGGAAGATGGGCAGCCATCACCCTTGGAACATGTGAGGTGACATGTGTGGTATGACTGCCGCAGCCTTGGTGAAAGATTCAGACAATGGCAGGGAGGGCAGGTGGCAGGGGGCGGGGGGAACAATGCCCAAAGCCACTTAGCCCTGGGACCTGTGTGGAGTTTAAATGCAGAGCCACCACTAGGTTCAGTGGCCCCTTATAAATAATGTTTTAACTAAGAAGTATGAGGTAGACCCCTGCCTTGACCTCAGAAACACTCCTGAGCCGTTAGCCACTGGCTTCCCTCACCCTGACTGCCTGGAGTAAGTTTTGTCTGCTGGTCACTGGTTGTTAAAGAGCATAGAGACACCAGTTACTCCAGCATTGCCTCCCACAGAATCTGCCCCAAAGGCAATAGTTGGGTCCAGAGAGGCAGTAGCAGAAGTTACTAAAAAACCACCACAAGTAGAGACTAGGAGGGGTAGGAGAGGATCACAGAGATAATCCCAGAGATAATCCTGAACTTTAAACAATATTCTCAATATTTTAAAATGAGAATAGCTTGCATCAGTTGAACACCAGATACTGTCCTAGGCATCTTAACATTTCCCATTCACTTAGTCCTTACAACTACTATGATGTCCCTCTAACACAAGTTAGCACCTTGCCCAATGCTGCACAGCTCCTAAGTAACAGCTGGGACTTGAACTCATGTAGTTGCATTCCCATGCCTAGACAAAAAAAAAAAAGAGAGAGAGAGAGAGGGGGCGTGGCTCAGCATGTGTGAGGCCCTGAGTCCCACATAATTGGGGGCTGGGGGATGATGTCTCCTGTGCTCACCAAGTTTCTGGTATTTTCCCTACAGTGGAGGGAGTAGACCTTGAAATGGGCCTGTCTTGCCACAGGGAGGGTGCCTTGTCTCAAAATAATCCTGCCCCTGTCCCTTCACTCATCAGTTCCATAAGAGCCCCTGTTTTGTTGGGGGCAAGTGTGCCTCAAGGCTTCAGCAGTTGCCACTGTTGTAGGCCCTACTGCAGGAGAAGACCTGTCGTCAGTGGATCTGGAGAGGGAACACGGGCTCACAATGATAAAACTGTTGGAGCCAATTACCCAAAGTGTGTCTGGAGGAACAGGAGCTGAGTGCCAGGGCCACAGGGAAAGGGCCTTGGGAAAGCCCTGGGCATCCATCTGAGCCCTGAAGCCACCAGACAGGCAGCGGGGAATTGGCAGGGGGCCTGTGGCAGCAGAGGAAGGCTCCTAGCCCATATGGGCTGGAGAAGGTGGTTTGTCCCCAATTTCTTCCTATCTCATGCCAAGGAGCTCAAGTTTCAAAGCAAAAGGGAGTTTTGTGCAAGATTCTGGAATGAGGAACTTTGTGCACAAAGCTGGTTTTAGGGGTTTGGCTGACTCCATGAGCAAATGACAGGCATGGAACCTGCTGAAGGAGTCAGGGAGAAGGGTGGTGAGGCCTGGACCAGCACAGTAGCCATGGCCATAGACAGAACCAGTTCAAGAAGCAAGAGAAGTAATGGAACCTGACACCTGACTTGGCAGGCAGGTTGGGAGCAGGCTAGGTGGGCAAGAGGAAGGAGTGGCAGACCACTGAGGGGGTGTCTGGGCCACAGGTGTCAGTGGAAATAAGGAAGTTGATGGTTTGAGGTGGTTCATGGAGGAGGAAGAAGGGATTGACTATGCCCATCTCCCCAAGACTATGCCACCTCCCCAACCTTCCTACCCCTCCGCACCTCTCTGCCCCATCCCCTGGCTATGAACACTACTTACCCTACTGCACTGGCCTCCAATCCTGTCATCTCTTCTATCAAGACTCACCACCTCTGGATGTTTCCTCAGACCTCTGTAACCATTTTAGCCAAGAAAGATTTGCCCTCCCTCCTCCCTCATCCGTCTGTGTATCTGATAATACCAGCAGCTATGAGAAAAAGTTTATAGGTTTCAGGGGCTTCTCTGATGTCTCTGATATCTGTAGCTTGGATCAGCCTCAGAACCTGTGGATTCCCCAAACAGAATTACATCCACCCCATTTAGGCCCGAGGAAATCCTGAGAAGAGGTTTGACAGCCTTTGGTTGCAGTTCACTATGAGTTAATACTAGGAGGGACAGTCATGTGCAAGTGTCCTTCCTCCTTCTGCATCTCCAGAACTGCAGGATGCTACCAGCTGGGCTTGCCCCCCAGAGACAGGCATCCAGGCCCCCCTTTCTAGAGCTGTCTTGGATGCAGGGTGGGAGGCAAAGGCCTGTGAGCCCAGAGCAGAGCTGCTGTGGCCCTGAAAAGTGCTTTTATCTTCATGGTTTGCTTGCTGTCTCCCAGCCTGGCTTCCCCCTCAGAGCATTTCTCCCAGTCTAATAATGAGGGCTCATTTTTGTTGCTGTTATCAAGAGATGATTCATTTTTAATTGCCTTCCAGGCGGAATCTCACGCAGGCTTTTTTTTTTCTTTTTCAAACTGTGAAAGTCCATCCTATAAAAGGTAGAATTCTGCAGCACCTACTCTGTGCAAGGCCTTGTTCTAGTCCCTACTGTCGTATGTATAATCCACTCAGTGCTGACTTAGGAACTTTTTTCCTTCTAGAAATTATTTACCTTGTTCAGTCATAGATTATACATATATATATATATATATGTATATATATGTATATATATATATATATATATATATTGTGTGTGTGTATTTGCATAGATCCTGCCAGATCACCTGCTGCAGAAATGCACCTTTGTCATTCTCAGGATGGCAATTTTTTTTTTTTTTAATTGCAACTGCATTCCAGACTCAGGAAAAGCATTCCTGATAGACATTGTCACTCCCCTCAGAGCTAGTATAGGAGACAGCTGTGTTTTTGCAATGGCCTTAAGAGAGGTGCTTTGGCAATAACAAGCTCAGGGTAACTTGGGAGCAGAGGAGAGAGATACTTAAGGCTGGGGGCATAGGGGTGACAAGGAGGGCACCATACCTGAGGAGGTGACCTGGAGGTGAGTCATACTACTGGTCTGGGCCTTTCAGGGAGACCAGGTCAGGGAGGCCCTGCTGACTAGCGCAGCCTCCTAGCAGAGCCTTCAGCATTTCAGACTGCTCCCTGCCCTCATCTCTGTCCCTGTTCTTGTTCTCCTCTCTGCCCACCCATTCAGGAAAGGAGAGAACTGGAGAACTGAGGGAACTTCAAAACCAGAGCTTGATTCCCTGGCCAGGAGGGTCTCTCCCAGGCAGGGCTCTTGCTGAGCTGCTCAGTAGATTCCTGCTCCTGACCTCTCCCTTCCCCCTTCTCAAAATTCCCCACCAGGCTGAGGCTTCTCAAAAAAAAAAAAAAAAAAAAAAATGCTGGGAAACAGTTTTCTTCTGGAGGTCAGGAATGAGCTGTCCCACAGGAAATACCAGATTCTTCATCTGGGGTAGCCAGCCTCCCAGCCTGCCTGGCTCTCCCCCAGCCCACGCACGTGGCTGGGATCAGTTCTGGGGCTTGAAAGAGTTGGGGCGGAGGGGCAGGGCCATGTCCAAGTGCTCCGCTGCCCTCCCGGTTGGGCCGTTGGCTCATGACTGTCTACAGTGTGTCTAACTTTGGTTTAAGGCTGAAGGCAGCTGGAGACTGAAACTGAAAGAAAACCAAGGATTCAACAGAGTTCTGTTCTCAGAGGCTCAGCCCAGACTGAGGGGAAATTCCCAGGTGGGGTTGGTTTCTGAGGGATCAGAGGTCGTCTTAGTATCCTCCTGTCCATATTCAGATGAATGGAAAGTATTCTCTCTCTAGAACATGGTTATCCTCATTCCCCTATTCCTGTGCCTCATGGTTCTCGTTCTCAAACCAGACTGTGTAAAGATCCAACTAATTCCTTTCTGCTGCAGTTTCTGCAGATTATCTTTTCAACACAGTGGGAAGAGACCAGGACCTGTTGCCCTCTGCCATGGAGGACAGAGTGACGCCTTTCCAAGGGTTAGGGTCTGTGAAAGGGTATAGGAGGTTTGGCGCATAGATCAGCCTGCCATCCTGCCCCAGGAAAATGTTAGGCCCTAACTTTCTCTTCCAGCCTGAATGAGGTTCTCTGGTCAGCACTGATGTCATCCTTCCTTCCTTTGGGGGCCTTAGCATTTTTTTTTGGTCAGGTCTGTGCATACATGTAAACGTGGAAGTGGGACTTGTAGTAGGTGGGTATGCTGAAATCTGAAGGCCCTTTAGGAATGGTGCCCACTGGCTTCCCTTCCAGTCTTGCTCTACCCCCCTCCAGGCCACACACACCCAGGATACACACAGCTCTCTCCATTGGTACCAATGGCCCATGGGAGCTGGGGGTGGGTGACTCTAGACAACAGGATTACCATGGCTCTGGCTCTGTCCTTCTCCTCATATGTGAGCCTGAAGGCAAGAACTAGGGTACTGCTACCTCCCGCCTGACCAACAGGCCTGGTCCTCAGCTGGTCTCTCCTTACACCCAGAGGGAAACTAAAGGAGGGGCCTCCAGAGGAGACATGACCAGCCCTGGGATGAGAGAACTAGGCCCAAAGAGGTGGGTCGGGGCAAGAATAGACCCAAGTGAGGACAGTAGGAAAGAAGGCCATTTTCACCCCACTCTGAGGTGACCAGAAGACCCAACATTAAAGGGAGGCAACCCCAAGTGCTCCCACTGTCCAGTGCTCCTCATTGGTCATGATTCTCTAGACCCCATTTCTGAAAAGCCAGTGCCAAGGTCCCAGGCCACAGTCACCTCTTCAACCCAACAGAGCTTCCCACAGGCCAATGTCCTTGCAGAACAAGGATTCTAACCCTCCCACACCCACTTCTTTTCAAAATTCCCTTTCCTAAGAGTGATTTCGCAAAGTCACTGCTGCGAGCTTGGCAGAACCCCCTTCCCTGCCACTGGGTGCAGTAGAGCTCTGCAGCCTGGGCCTGAGTCCTTCCCCCTCTTGGTGAGGAGCCTCATCCAGCTATTTCCTCTGCTATATCCATGCTTTCCAGAGACAGAGGCTATTTCTCTTCCTCCTGTCCTTTTGTATTATGTCCCTGTAAAAGGACTCTCTGGGTGGAGGAGGGGTGCCTGGATAAGTGTATTTAGGACTCAGCTTCATTGTGTAGTTTATCAGCAGAGAATGCCCTGGCCTCCCTGAGGAGAGGGATCACTTCCCCAGGGCCTCTCGCCTGGGCTCCCAGGGGCTGCTATGTAAGGACACTCTGCCATGCTTCAGATGCCAGGACAGGTACTAAGAAACTGCCTGGTGCATTCAACAGTTCTCTCTGTTCCTCCAGGCTCACTCTGTTCCATCTCCATCGAGAAGGCGCTGCCCGAGGACAGAGGCCTATACAAGTGTGTAGCCAAGAATGGTGCCGGCCAGGCGGAGTGCTCCTGCCAAGTCACCGTGGACGGTAGGTCATACCCACCCATGCTATCACATATCCAGGGTCCCATCTCTCATACCCTCCCACACCTGAACTGAACTGCCCCCAGCTGTCTTTACCTCTACCTGGGCGTTCATTTGGTAGGTGCCAAGCTACCTTTTACAAAAGCAAGACAGAAAAGAAAGTGCCAGTCCCACTTGATTACCCATGTGGCCGCTTTCTATGCCCCTGCCAGGAGGAGGGGCTGTTCACCCTCTCCTACCCTCCTCGTCCTAATCCCCCACACCCAGAACCTTCTGCAGGGAATCCGGGCAAAAGGGCACCAAGCAGGAGAAAGGACACACCCACAGGAAAATGACTACAAGTATTTTACAAGCCACAGCAAACAAGTGTGAGTGCTGGCGGCACAGAGCTGGCGTGGGTCCTGGGAACGTGAGGAGGGAGCTAGATGTGGGGAGCCATCCTGGAGGAGGTGAGTCGGGCTGAGTCTTCAGGTAGAGGGGACAGGGCCACCTCTGCCAAAAGAAAAGGGTAATAGCAACACAGCAGAAGGAGAGGGGATATGGGAGAAAGAGCAGTCCTGTCAGGTCTGAGTGGAATTTCCCTCTTAGGAAGGGGCAAGGCCTCACTATGAGGCTTGGGATTTGTCCTAAAGAAACGCAGGAAGTATGCATTTATGACTCTTTTCTTCCTGGGGTGAGGAATGTAAAATTAGAGACTTGAAAGTAGAATGGACCTCATGATAGTTTAGACAAACAACATTATTATTGTTGCTGTTGTTGTTGTTGTGACGATACTAGGGATGGAACCCAGGGCCTCACTCATGCTAGGAAAATTCTCTACCACTGAGTTACACCCTCATTTGACAGATGAGAAAATTGAGGCCATTCAGAGAGGAAGGCTTTCTGGTCACAGTAGGGCTGGGCCAGGGCAGAACCCCATCTCAAGGATTCCCTATCCAGTTCCCTTTCTTTGTATTTTGGGACTTGCCTGGAAATGTCTAAAAAGGTAGTTTTGGGAAAACAGTTCCTTGCCCTTGAAATGCCTGGTTAATAACCATCAGTGACATGTCAAAAAATAGTGTCCAAATAAGGCATCTCGAAGAACAGCTTTGTTGTTCTTCTGGCTCCTGAGTGGGATCACTTGAGTCCTAAGATCCTAACCTGTTTCACTGCCATCCCACAAAATGTGGAATCTTAGTCCTCATTCTGGATTTCATAATCCGATTTCCTGATCATAAAACTGAGCTCTACTGTAAGTAATGAACAGGAGAAAGGAAGAAAGGTCTTATAAAGAAAAGCCTCCTAAAAACACGCAGTGGTGATGTGAATCACATTGTTAATAGCCAAAAAGGTGAGCTAAAACTGTCCTCTTAGACTTCTGGTAATGTCCTTTTCTCACCTCAGTGAGAAAGCAGATCTGACGGGGCAGAGTTCATGGTCAGCTGGGAGCAGGGCTTATGATACATGCTTTGAGACTCTGGGCCAGGCAGTGGCTGCTACTTTCTCCTGTGTGTCTCTCCTCACTTGGGCTGTCACCACCCAGGTCAGAGTCCCACTCTCAGGTGCCCAGTTGTAGCCTTCCTGGAAACTTGACCCCGGAAGTTAATTTATAACAGCCTCTCTCCTCACTTGGGACTCTGGATGATTCCCCCTAATCTATTAGGAAACCAACCTGCTAATGAGGTTGTCTGCTTTGGGAACTCCTGGGCTCTCTAATTCCTATGTACATGACTGACTGCAGGCAGGAGAGCAATCCATTCTCCTTATCTGTAAAATGTCAGCACCTTTTCCAGATTTGTTTGCAAAATAAAATTTCCTTTTTTTTTCTACAGAATGTACTTGGGAATCTCTTTTTTTTTTTTTTTAAGGACATTCATTCTACAACTTAAGGGGCCTTTTTCACACTGAGGATGACTGGAAGAGTCTGTTACACTCCCCACTAATCTTGATGACCCCCACCATTTATCTTTGGTTCCCTCAAAGGCAGAGGTCAGGCCCCTAGTTGCAAACTAGGAGCTGAATCTTAGCAGAAGACTGGGAATAAGATAGGAGAAAGACCAGCTGAGATAACACACCAACTCCCAGCTAATTAGGTTTTGTTTGGTTTGGTTTTCAGAGAGAAAAACAGGCAACCCTCTTCATCCTCTCCCTTCCTTCTTCTTACCCTTGCAGCTACATCTGTGGTAGACACCCTGTATAAACTCCTGCCTTCATTGTGTCCCTTCCTCTCACTGTCCACATTCCCTAGGGCATGACACTCAGGTCCCAATGGGTCTGAGTACCCTTTGAAATTGCAGGCAAAACTTGGGGTATATATGGGCCTAAGCATCTTTCTGAAAAGAGGGGTCTGTAGCTTTTAGTCCAGTTGTTAACGGGAGTCATGAATGACACTGGGTTGAAGGGACTCCCCGCCCTAAGAGGGAACCATGTTTGAGTTCACAGCCCAGGCCCTGGGTGAGCCCCCAAGTTCTCTCTCTCTCTGCAGCTGCCTGCCTGACCTCTGGACAGAACCAGTCATTGAAAGACAGTGAGGTCCCTCTTCACTGTGCTAACTTCAGCTTGGCTTCCCTCTGTCACTTAGCAGGGCTGATCATACCCCCTGAAAGTCACTTGCTGTCATTTAGCCTGTGCCCAACACCATTAAGATCATGTGTCTATAGCCAATAAGATGATATATTTCAAGATCTCATCAAAAGGAGCCCAGTAGGCTGGGTGTGGTGGCACACGCCTGTAATCCCAGTGACTTGGGAGGCTGAGGCAGGAGGATTGTGAGTTCAAAGCCAGCCTCAGCAACTTAGTGAGGCCCTAAGTAACTCAGCAACACCGTTTCTCTAAATAAAATACAAAAAGGGCTGGAGATGTGGCTCAGTAGTTAAGTGCCCTTGGGTTCAATCCCTAGTACCAAAATTAAAGCGAGTTTTGTGTCAGCCACGTGTCTGTTTCTCCTGTACATAGTATAAGGGAGGTGACCTGATAATACAGCATATCTGACAGCTTTAGTCCTGCTGTTTGGGTCTTTCTCTTGTGTGACAGAGTGTTTGGGCACTTTCTTGTTATGATCGTATCACCCTTCCTTCCAAACGCGGAAGGCAAGTGTCAATTTGTCCCCACACAAGAGAACTAAACCTCGAGTGGGTAAGGACTTTCCAGAAAACTTGTCCAGGAGGAGAAAAAACTGGCCTTCCGTGGCCACCATGTCCAGAGACTCTGTCATATTTTGGATTTTCTGGTTACCCAATAGTGGACAAGCTTTCCTCCATTAGCAAACAGACTTAGCCCGGGTGGACAGCCTTCCCAGGTCACACAGACAGGCACACTAGATCTAAGAGGACCCCCACTCCAGCAGTAAGCTACATCCCAGACCACCATGGCAGGACTCAAGTGGGTCTGGTCTGCACCTTCCCATGACCTGCCAGCCCCCCGTACAGTGAGTTACCATGGCAGAGCCCCCGGTCTCCTTCATTACCAGCCCTCTCTGTTGGGAAGTCCTTCTGAACATGGGACTAAGTAACTCATGTGATCCAGACCCAGATGAGAGGTGAAGTCCTTCTTAAGTCAACATCCCAGGACAGGAGTCAGGAGGCACCTCAGCCCCTCACAGGCTCCTGCAGTCCTTCCCAACTCAGGTCTCCCTTCTTCAGTTGCCCCCAAGGCAACCCAGCCTTAGCTTCAGTGAGAGTGGGGCTTTGTGACCACAGAGGGTCGCCCATGTTTGTGTAGGTGCTCCAATGGGCACCTGTGCCATCACTCATTCATTCAACAAAGAGTTGTGTGCCCGCCATGCCAGGCGCTCCTCTAGGATTGAGCATTAGCAGCAGTAAACACAGCAGAACGAATGCTTGCTCTCAGCACTTGACCTTCTATTGGGGGGAAGTAATAGTGCAGAGGAAGAGACATGTCATTACTTCAGACAATGCTGCCTGCTGTGGAGAAGGCCCAGGGGGGCAAGTGGGAGGGGGTGCTGTTCAGAGATGGGGATTATTGAGCCCTCTTGAGGAAGGAACTTTTGGACAGAGACCTCCAGGAAGTTAGAGAAGGAGTCCCTGAGGTAAGAGAAAAGAGGTGACGGTGAGGCTATGTTTGTCCTCCCCAGGAAAAGGAAGCAACCAGGCTGATGGGGCTGGGAGCAAGGGACTGTGTGGTGGGAGTGAGGCTGCAGAGGGCAGATGCCAGCTCGGCAAGGCTGTGTGGGCTTCGACGAGGAAGCCGGATTTTATTCTGAGTGAGATGGGACAATTCTGGACATTTGTAAAGGATCACTCAGGGCCCTGTGTGGGGTGACCAGACCCAGAACAGATACAGAGGAAAGCAGGGAGATCAGATGGCAGGAGACAGTAGCATATAGACTCAGTGGAAGTGACAAGTAATGATTGGATTCATAAATCTAGTTTGATGTAGAGCTGATAAGACTCACTGATGAGTTGGATATGGAGAGAGAAAGGGGAGGCACCGGGTGCCCCCTCCTTGCTGCATGGAAGACTTAATTTCCATGGAAGAGTGAAGATCAATGGCAGTGCCAGCCTACCGAAGTCAGAATGTGCAGGTTGGAGGGACAATCGAGAGTTTTGTGCATGTGAGGTTGGAGATGCCCATTGGGCAGCCCAAGGTAACATGTGACATAGACAGGCATCTAGATAAATCTGAAGCTGGGGAGGGAGATCAGGGAATGGGGATCCATCCACATGTAGAGGCCATCAAATGCCCTGGAATTGACAGAGGTTCCCAGGGGTGGATGTGGATGGAGATGGGACAAAGGAGCGAGGTAGAGTCCAACATTGAGAGTCAGGGAGAGGACAGGAGTCCACAAAAGAATGGTCTCAGGGAGAAAAACACCCAGGAGAGGGAGTGTCCCAGGTCTAAATGGTGAGAATCTGAGGAAGGAAAGAATGAAGGATCAAGTGTTGGATGCTACTGCTGAGTAGAGGGGAGACTGAGCATTGGCCACTAGATATGGCAACCTGGAGATCATCGGTGACCTTGACAAGAAGGTTAAAGGGCAGTGATAGCAACAACGGCCTATTTGAGACAGAGAGCAAGTCACCTGCTCAAGTTCACCTTGACTAATTGGGAATCTAACCCCAAGACTTGGCTGCTTAACACTGTAGCCCACTGCCCCCAGGACCATTGGCATTGCTGTTTGTCACTGAATTGGACCCAGCCTTCGTTGGCTTCAGTCCTTCTATATATATTCTCCACTCCACTCCCACTTTCACGTTGATTCTTTAAGTTGTCACAGGCAGTTAATGGGTATTAGGTTCAACCAAATAGAATTGCTATTTTTTAGGCCAAAAGTAATTAAGTATTGGTGAATGGTGTGGTTCCGCCCTGTGTGAGCACATAAAGCACTTCAGCAGAGCACATGTGTGGAACAAGTACCCAGTAAATGTCACCTGTTATTTTGTAACTCACTCCTCCGTCCCTCTTCTGTTGAGCTGGTGTTATTCCCATTTTTCCAATGAGGAAGATCAGCCTCAGAAAAGTTCAGGAACTTCCCCAACGACTCACTAAACCTCAGAGCCAGAAAAGAGCTCAAGTTCCCAACTAGAAAGTGCTATCCTTTCATGCTAGCAAGCTGCTTGGCCTTTGGCAGAAAGAGAGGCCAGCGAGGAAGAATGGACAACCTCCTGGGAGAGGCTGGAGCCCAGCCCCTCTGCTCTGTCCCCTCATGGGTCTCTTAGAAGCTCAGACCCACTCTCAGAAGCTTCCCAAAACCTCATTCCTCTGCCTAGGGCCAGAGCCCAGGGATCCAACCTCTTGGGGGAAACAAAAGAAAAAATGCCAAATGTCCCCTTGAGGGTGTGAGTCCAGAATGAGCCCAGGAGTGGAAAGGGTGAGGCATTATCGGTATAAGGACAAGTTTCCCTCTCTCTGTCAAGGCCCCCCACTTCCCTACACCTCCATCTTCCCTCTGCACACTCCTTTGGGTGCACACCAGGCCAGCAAAGGACTCTAGCCCTGAGGCCCAGATCTAGAAATGAAGTTCAGTTTCATCACAAAATAGATTAAAATAGACAGAAAAGACAAGCTGCTCTTAAACTTTTATTACTATTATTTTTATCCCCTGGACAGCCATGTGAGCACAAAGCTGGTTTTGATTAAGCGTGTGGTCCTTCCAGCCCACTCCTCCTGCGGTTCTCATGGAGGAGGCGTAGTGGTTCAGCATCCCTGCCTGGGGCCCCTGGTGCATGCACAGCCCCCACAGTGTTGGCACTTTAGGAGGGACGGGGCTCCAGGCCTAGAGTATGCCTGGTTTGAAATGGAAACTCAAGCCCTTTTCCTCATGGCCAGACTGAAAGATAAAGTGCAGTGAAACTTCTTAAAACAAGGCTCAAAGCACATCCAGTGTGGTTACTGACACATCTGGGGGGCCTGCAGCACCCTAGAGCAGAGGACAGTGCAGGAATGATAGGGGCTGGTGCAGGGATTCTGAAGGTAGAAAATGTTAAAGTCAACTCGGAGGAGTGAGAGATCGTGGTTAGCAGAAAGAGTGAGCTCACTTAGGCAAAAGACCCTTCTTGGTCTCCAGAGCCCCATTGCATGCATTCTGTCCTTTGGGACTTGGGCCACTGTGGGGTAGAGAAAACAAGAGTTATTCCCTTTGAACAGATAAGAAAACAGAGACATGGGACAGTTTAAGTGACTTGCCCATGTTCTTGAGATTGCTGATGACAAAGCCACAACTAGAACTGTCCTCTCTTCATCCTTCTGTGATGGGTGCTTGAAAGTAAAGCCCAGCACATCCCTCCTTTCAGAAGCCCAAGGAAACTGGGCCTCTCCTTCTTTGCTTGCTTCTACTCAGTTTTCCCACCTGTGGGTAGTGGGGAAACCAGTCCTTCTTTCTCTGCCTTCTCTGTGCTCTGGGACTCACCAGGAGAAAGAGAGATCTGAACCAAGGAATGCAGAACTTTGTGCACATCCCCACCTCCACTCCTCCTCTGGGAAAAGGGCAAAGAGAAATTTCTGCATGTACTTTCTTTCAAGTCCTAGGGGGACTTTCTCTTCCTCTACCCAGCTCCACATGGAATTGGTGCCCTGGGGTGTGGGCAGCTCCCTAAGATCCTGGTGGCATTGGCTATGGATGGCAAAGACCTGCCACCATCTGGTGCTCCTTTGCACTTCTGGACAGTGGTGGGATTAGGGTGACATGCCGTGGGGGCAGGTTAGGGGCTGGGTTATCAAGCACTGCTTCAAAGGATCTCTTCCACTCTTGTCCCTTTATCCCCATCTCCTGCTATAGATTAATAGAAAGTCCTACTTACGATCCAGTCATTCCCACAGTTCCATGTATATGGCTTTTGCCCTTTTTCAGTGGTGAGCCCCCCATCTCCTGCCCAGCCCAGAGACCTCTGAACTGAGCCAGCAAGGTGCCTCTGTTACGAGATTACCGTATCCCCATCCCCACGGTGTCTAATTTAGCTGCTGCAGCAATGTTTCACCATCCCTGCCTTGGGGAGGGACAGCAGAAGCCCTCGAGTGGGTCCTCTCCTCAGGAGGTGGGAAGGGAGGCTGACTAGTGTTAAGTCTCAGAAATGATGCTGTGTGAGAAGGATAGCATAGGCAGCTCCACTTCTAGAGCAGGCAGGGACCCAGATGCTATGTAGAAAGAGACATGCCTCCAGGTGAGAGCTCAGAGAGCCCATGAGACAGGAAGGATATGTCCCTGACCCCTTCTATCTGTGCTCCTGGTTCCCACCCCAGAGCCCAGATGAGGTAAGATCAGCCAGGGCTGCCATCCTGAAAGGGAGGGGAGCAAGATAGCCCTTCCTCCCCAGCCAAGCCACAGGAAGTGGCCAAAGCCTCTGGAAAGTGCCCCACCCTCCTTCCTCCCTCTGAGTTTCCTCTCCTCCCAAGCAGGAAAAGGAGGATAGGAAGGGGGTTCAGAGAGCTACCCACCCAACCTGTCCCCAAAAAGTGTTCCTTGTAGGGAAAGGAAGACCAGAGAGCATGGTGACATTGATTCAGCAAGTATTTCTTATCTGAGTCCTAGATGGTTTCCCCACAACTTTGTAAAGTCCCTTCTCCTGGGGGCCCAGTGGGGGCTTTTTCTGCCCAGCCCCACCCAGCCATAGTGAAGAGTCCCTGCTGCTAGACAAGGGAGGGTTCCTCGGGCATTATCTGGGCTCTGCCTTAGCATGGGAGAAGGAGCCTGGAGCAGAGGCCTGAGGAGCACCGTCCCCATCCCCATCGTGTCTAATTTAGCTGCTGCAGCAATGTTGCACCATCCCTGCCTTGGGGAGGGATAGCAGAAGCCCTCAAGTGGGTCCTCGCCTCAGTCTCAGGGGAGAGGCACGCTAGCTGCCTGCTCTGAGGTCTTTATCTGGTCTGTTATGGGCCAAGTGCAACAGCATGTCTGAAAAAATCAGAGACTGACCGCAAGCCCCTCCAGACCGCGAGCTACGTCCTCTCCTTCCTCTGTGTGGGACCTCTTTTTGAAAGTGTTTTTGGAAGTCTGGAACATTCAGCTGAGTGAGTCAAGGCCCAAGGAAGGAAAAGATGGGGGAGCTGAGCCAGAGGGTAGGATGGCCACAGCCTGGACAGCAGCGGTATTTTTGGCAGCCTGTGCAGAGGGGAGTACTAACCAGCTCCCAGTAGCCTATCCATCCATCTTGCTAGGGTGACTGTCCTACCACCTGATTTATCAGCCATGGCGGCCTTTCCTTCTTTGGTGCCAGTGGAGGCAGGGCCGGCCCAGCAGGCGCCGAGGGCCTCCCAAGGAATGCAGGATGGGTGAGCCATACGAGGCTTGAGGTGGGATCCTGACTGAGGTGCCTCCTCTATTCATCTCCTTGGACAGCCTCCCAGTGATGTTTGTGTCCCCTGTTTTGTTCCAGATGCTCCAGACACTAAGAACACCAAGGCCCCGGAGATGAAATCCCGGAGGCCCAGGGGCCCTCTTCTCCCTGTGCTAGGAACGGAGAGTGAGTATTGGCTCTGCTTTGCCTCGCAAACTCAAGGGACACCCAGGACTGGGGGGGTGGGGGTGGGGGGTAGACGGGTGTCAGAGCCTCTGTCTCCTGAGCATCCCTCTGGCTTGAGTGTCTCCAGGTCTGGCTTCTGCCCATATGCCACAGTACCCGGTGACCTTCTTGTGACCTTTTCTCATCTTCCTCCTTCCCCCATCTTCCTCCTTCCCCCATAACCTGTCCACCACCTGTGCACATCTCTGTCCCCCTCAACATCACTCATACTCTTTTTACTTTGTTACTGAGCCCCATCCCCACTCCCTGCAAGAGTGAATCACTCCTCAATTGACTCTGCTTTGCCAGGGAACCTCTCTAAATTGTAATCATTCCCAACTGAAATACCAGTGGTCCCCAGCACCTGTGAAATCCCATACAAGTGAACTTTTTGCAAGATCATGCCTAGACATAACTATTGTGCCTGTGTACATGTGGTCCCTTACGTCCTGGCTGCCACCACTCTCCCAGCTCTGCCTCTCACTCTCTCACTCCTATTTTATATTCAAGCCAGACTGAGCTCCTCACTGAACCATAGCCATCCCCTGAGGTCCTCCCAGCATGCCTGTGCTCTGGCACCTCTCTCCATGGGCAACCTTTCTAATAAACTCCCACTGCAAAACCAGATCAGCCCCGAGTTCTTCCTCCTTTTATCTCAAAGTAACTCTCTGGGAGCTCAGAGCCTTGGCAGCTCCCTCATCCACCAACTGTCACCTTACCAAGCGTGGAAACAGGTCCTTCTCTCATGGCACCTTCCTTGAGGGCCTAGCATGAGCCTCAGAATGGCACATGCTATGCCTTGCTCTTGGAGGACCCTCCCTGGTGTCTCTCAGAGTCAAATTGCAGAGTGACATAAATATGCAAGGATGAAAGGAACTTCTCCATGATCCAGACCATAGACAGTTACGCCTTCCTTTCGACCTTGATTCCCCCAGGGCCTATCCACCCATTTGGCATGGTGCCAAGAGCACACACTGCTTTACAGGCCCACAAAAATGTGCTGTCCTATAAAATTAGAAGAAAAAAATGAACTGTTCAAAGACAATGTTTTGAGTTCATAATATTAATATAGTCATCCTTTATGCCAGAGAAATTGTGAACTATAATTTATATAACTAAAATATAATATATATAATATTCAATTAAATATGTATTAAGGATGAAGGAGCCCATGAAGGCAAAAGTCATAGAGCAGCCCTGGCTTCTACAGTGATTATTAGTATAGTTTCATTAGCAGAACTATCCTTTGAAACCTCCAGTTTTAGCAGGATGCAGGTTACTTGGACAGCCCCAACACACTGTTTTAAAACAAATAGCAGAAAAGTCAGGTTCTTACCTAGACAAATAGAGGAAAGTAATCATCCTGATGATACAGAAGACCACTTCTCTTTTTCCATTATGTAGCAGTGTTTTATGACTTTCACCTTACTCTCCTCTTTCTTCCTCTCTCCCCCCCTCCCTCCCTCCATTCCTTCCTTCTTTCTTTCCTTCTTTTGTTAGGCGATGTGTTCACCTTCCTGATGATGCATTTGGGTTCCCTGAACACAAGCCTGGGGTGTCAGACTTCAGTATGGTAGGGCCACCAAAGTGAAAAGATATTTACCCAAAGTGGGGAAGTAATCCCCAAGAATAGTGGAGGGACCACTATCAAGAAGCTTCAAAGATCAAGAGTGGACATTAAATAAGTTATTGGAAGCGCAAAAAAACCAATCTAAGAAGAACCTAGTAGGGATGGGATAATAGTTATTCTTTCCAAATATTTTCTGGGACCATGCCATGTTCAATATTGGGAAATGAAAGCAGATGAGATGTTGTCCCGAAAAGAACACCGGGACTGTGACTAGGGTGTCATGTGGTAGTTCACTTCTCAGGGGCAGAGGTTCAGCAGCCTCCTGTCCAGTGTGATCCTGAGGGAGGTGAGGAGAGGTCAAAGGGGAACTGTGGAGGAGAAAAACAAGCAGGAGACAATGAGCAGACCCAGAGCTGGGCTCCTTGCCCTGGAAAACAGGAGGCTGTGGAAAACCCCAATCAAGTTGTCATCATCCAACTCTGGATCCGCAGCTGGCGGCCCTGCCTGCATATTAGTTTCACCTGGGGAGCTTGGAAGCCACCACTGCCTGGACTGCTCCCCAGACTAATTAAATCAGAACCTCGGGTGGGAGCAGGGCTTCAGTATTTGTTTATGCTCCCAGGTCATTCCAGTGTGTGGTCACACTGGAAAGAGGGAAACTGGTGCCCCCCACTGTTGGTCTAGGGCAGCAGAAGGGTATCTTCCTGCTGCCTCCGTGTAGAGCCGACACCCTGGGAGGGTCTCCCAAGGCACCCTGTGGTGTGGAGGGGCACAGCTTGCAGAAAGCTCTATGAAAATGCACACATCGTGATTGGATTAACTCCATAACTCCATCTACCCCCAAATCCATTCACCCCACAAATGTATTCAGTTTCTTCTTTCTGTGTATTTGTGTATTTGTGAATATATAAATACATCAGCAGGATTTTTCTCCCCATAGAAATGAAATCCTGCAGTCTATCTCTCTCTGCCACGTGCATTACCTTCCGCAGTCCAAGACATGTCCAGTTTCATGAGTGGTCTGTGTGTGTGTGTGTGTGTGTGTGTGCGCGTGCTTTTGTCAAGGGCCAAAAAGTACCTAATCTAAGGAGGAAATCCATCTTTCCTGAGGGAAGGGTGAGTGATTTTCCTGTCAAACATTGTGGCCAGATCCTTCTCTGCATGGCCTCCTCTCTCCAGCATGATAGTTTGGTCCTGTAAGCCAGCAGTTGAGGGGCAGAGTGGACAAAGCTTACCCCCACTGTGTCCTGGGGGCCCCTGGGAGCCTCATTGTGGCCAAGCACTTGAAGAGCCAAATTGGTGTGCTCCGAGTGAGCTGTCAGGAGGATGAAAGGAAATGGAGCAAAGCACAAGTTGACCTGGTGGACACCAGCTCACAGATGAAAGAGGGAGATGGTGTGCTGGGCTGGGGCTGGGGGCGGTGGTTAGAATGAGGGAGCCTCCAGACCAGGTTATGAAGGAGGAGAGGAGTGTAATTTGTGTGGTTTGGTTGAGGAGGAATGATAACATAAGAGGGAGAGAGGCAGGCAGGAGCTTGGGGTGAAACCGCAGAGGCCAGAGTGAGGGCAGCTGAGCGGACCCCCTGGGCAGCAGCCTTAGCCTCAGGTGCTCTGGCTAGGTCACTTCCGCTCTCTCACTCTGCTCTGCTACAAGTGATTGCTGTTCCCATTTTGCAAATGAGTGAAACTGATTCTAAGAGACAAAATTATCATGCCCCAGGGCCTCCCAGCTGGGAAGGAGTAGAACTGTGATGCCAAGCCTGATCTACGCTCCTGTCACGGCCCCCTGCACCTTGTCCTCTCAGGGATGTACTCTGTGCTGTCCACACAAGCTGAGCAGAGCTTCCTCCAGCCCTTGGGGCAGCAGGAGGAGAGAGGGATTGGGCCCCCAGGACTGGCAGAGGTCTGGTTGTCATTCAGCTGGGGGATAGGGAGGGCAGCAGCTGGCACGCATACCTGGATTCAGAGGCTTATCAGGGTGCTTGCTGCATGCCCTCGCTGGGATCTTTTCTATATCTAATTTCAAAGTTACAGAAAAATTACAAGAATAGTACAAGAAACTCTTGAATGCTCCTTACTTGAAATTCAACAATTACTTACATTTTGTTCCTTTTTTATCATTTTCTATATATTATGCATATATATATATATATTCATTTGGGTGGATGAATCCATATAAGACCAAATTTTATATCCATGCCCTGGACTTCTAACTCACTGTGTGTCTTCTAAGAATGTAACCACACTGCAATTATTGAAATCAGGAAATTTGATATTGAACAATGGCATTCTCTCATCAACCCACAGTCTACCTTCCAGTTTAATACCAGCTTAATATGCGGATTCACGGATTTCTCCTATTAGTCTGTATAAGGTGGTGATCTTTTGAAGAGATCAATGAGCATTTTACAACTTGAGTAGCTGGCCCCTGAGTGGGTTCATAATCAGTATTTGATTTTCTATCAATTCATGAGTTCTATGCTTTAGGGTTCCTATCTCCACTGCAATTTAAGGATTATACAGATGGAACATCCCTTTTATTCTATGCCTGGCCTTGAGCCTCATCTCTGACATTGGACCATCCCAGTCACTATGTTAGACTGTCTCAGATTATGATGCTTTTATTTATTTTTTTTAATATTTATTTTTTAGTTTTAGGTGGACACAATATCTTTATTTTGTTTGTATGTGGTGCTGAGAATCGAATCCAGTGCCTCACGCATGCTAGGCGAGCGCGCTACCACTTGAGCCACATCCCCAGCCCATGATGCTTTTATTTTATTTTTGCTATACCAAGGCTTCATGCATGCATGCCAGGCAAGTGCTCTACCACAGAGCTACATACCAGCCCCACCTCCCACCCACCTTTTTTTTAAGACAGGGCCTCATTTTGTTGGCTGAGTCTGTCCTCATACTAGCAATCCTCCTGCCTCAGCTCTTTGAGTTCCTGGATTACCGGTGTGCACCACTGAGCCCAGCTGATGCTTTTAAATATCTTCGCCACCACCTCCAAACCCATGTGTCTCCCTGAAACCAAAAGTCGTGTCAATTTGAAAACATTTTTGGATATCAAACAATGTCCAGTTTTTGTGAAGGTTTCCCCCAAATCAAATCTTTCTTCTAAACATTTTTTGCAGGTTGGGGGAAGTGCTAGGTCCTGAAAGGACTTAAAGGTCTGGAAGCAGTGGCTCAGGAGAATGAGGCAAGAGGATCATGAGTTCAAAGCCAGCCCCAGCAAAAGCGAGGCGCTAAGCAATTCAGTGAGACCCTGTCTCTAAATAAAATACAAAATAGGGCTGGGGATGTGGCTTAGTGGTTGAGTGCCCCTGAATTTCATCCCTAATACCAAAAAAAAAAAAAAAAAAGTCGAGGGGCTGAAAGGAAATGCTGGA